CAAATAATTCTGTGTCAATTACTACATTGTATTATACTTGTTTGTTTGCAAGTGTATCTCACCAAAAAAGAGAAAAGCTCTTGAGGGAAAATAACATTCCTTAGTCCATTTTTCCAATGTCTACCTGACATTTGCAAGTGCTCAATATTCCACCCATTCTCTCCACTTCCTTGAGGACAGAAGAAGGTAGATATGCTAAGTTACCACTTATTAAGCAACTACTAAGTGCCAAGCACTTTACATTTTTTTTTAATTTATTCTTTACAAGAAGACATGACAGACAACAGACTTTTACAAATGATGAAATAGGTTGAATAAAGCTAAGTAAGTTGCTTTTGGAAAAAATACGCAGTTAAAAAAAATGCACTGTTAGAAATGTGGATGTAGTAAAACATCTGCTTAGCATGTGCAAGACCCTGGGTTCAATCTCCAATGCTGCAATAAATAAATAAATGGATAAATAAAATTAAGATGCACAGTTAATAAGCAACAAAGAAGGTACTCAAATGAACTCTGACTGTGAGGCATTTGTTCTTGCCAATACAGCAGTGCCTATCAGCAGCCAGCAAGTGTCCACTCATCTTCCAGCCTGGGCTCTGCTGAGCTCCCCTGTATCCTGTAAACATTTCCTGAAGGTTTGTGGCACACAGCCTGCAAGCAGGAACAGGTGTGTGGATGTGTGCTCTGGGCCTGGGGACAGAAGCAGGGGCCCTGCCTTTGGATTCATATGCACACACCCACTTCCAGGTCTCAACTGTCAACTCCTCAAAGACTTCCCAGTCAACGGAGACCACATTAATGTCGAAACTAACCTAGTGTACACAAAAGCTCCTTAGTAAAACAGCTCCTTTTTCTAAGGTCCTCCTTTGTTCAGAAGTTTCTGTCACTGGGAAATGAGTGCTTGAGAAACCTTAATTGGTCCAGCTTGGGTTGAACCTTGGAGCTAGTGTTTTAGTTTGCCCCTGGCTTCACCTTGAAGCGTGAAAATGGATTAGAGTTCTGTATTCCACAGTGCACAAACACACCACTACCCTCCCCTACTGTCATGATTCCAAAGACTTGCCTTCAGGACAGAAGATGGACGTGAATGAGGGAAAAAAATTTCTAAGAAGTCCTTAAGTTTGACCACATTGAGACATTTCACCTACTGCTAATCAGTATCGTCATGTGCTCTCATAAGATTATATAAAGGAGAATGAAGAGTAATTTAAAATCAAAACAGCAGCAAAAAAAAAAAAAAATTATGTAGCCTAAGTCAGGCATGGTGGCCTGTACTCTTAGCTACAGGAAGCTGAGACAGGAGGATCACAAGTTTGAGGCCAGCCTCAGCAATTTAGGTAAGATCCTGTCTCAAAATAAAAAGAGCTGTGGATATAACTCAGTGATAAAGCACCCTTAGGTTCAGCCCCCAGTACTGCAAAATAATAAAATATAGAAAGGGCTAGGGATATAGCTCAGTGGCAGAACACTTGTCTAGCAATTATGAGGCCCTGAGTTCAATCCCTAGTTTAAAAAAAAAAAAAAAATCTACAGCCTAGGGACATTGCAGCCATCTTAGTTCAAGTACACTCTACTTAATGTTGACACAATGAGGAAATCACCTAACAGCCAGCCCATTGTTAAGCAATGCATGACTGTAGTAGGGTAGCTATTTGTCTCTAAATATTGCAGCTATCCTGAACCCTAAGCAAAGACAAGAAAAAGAAATATCAGTGCTTTATTACACCAGCTGAAAGCGCGTCTTATACTGAAGGACTGCAATTTTGATCTTTAAAGCATAAGAAATCAATGTTAATTGTTTGCTGCTCTATGAGATGACCTTTCATCAAGTAATTGATCACGTGCTTCGGAGTATTAGAAGCAACTGCAGAAAGAGTCCACAATAACTACCTCATTATTGGATAATATTAGCTCCCCCTACCCCTCAGGAGAGTGGCAAAGAATAAATGAGATCACAGAAAGACCTCAGCAGTGTAGGAAATGCTGTCATTAATGAAAGGGTACACTGTCAAAGGGCCCTGGGGGAGGAGCCTGGCCAGATCCCCACCTCTGCAGAAGATCTCCTCAGAGTCAGGTTATCAAGGTTATCACCACTTGCCTGGGACTGGGATGTCACAGGGCAACTTCCCAAATGCCCCAGAGAACTTTAAATTGGGTGGAAATATCTTAGAGGAAGAACTGGATGCTGAGGCTGGTGACGATGGAGCTCTGGGAACTTGTTCTCTCCAGAAGAAATGCACTGGCTGAGAAAAGACTAAATCCAGAGAGGCACGAACCATCCAGGAGTTTCTGAGGTGGGTGGTGTCCACAGGGGCCGCTTTGGGAAACACAGTTCTCACCTCCTCGTTTCCTCATACTGCCCAGAGCCAGCTGAGACAAAACACCCTCATCCACCAGGAAGAGTGTGTGGGACTGAGTGGGCTGGGGATGGGAAGGAAGGGACAGGATGGAAACCCAGAAGCCTTTTCCAGGAAGAGATTTAGAGGAAAGAATCTTTTATTTTGGAGGAGTGAGTAGTCAATGTAGAGTACCAAATAGCCAGCAGAAGGCAGAGCTCTCTAATTAGCAGTCAAGTCCCACAGTGCAAGACAGATTGACTTAGACAAAGTAGATGAGGGTAGGTGCATTCATCACTTTCTCTGTAGTGCTTCAAAAAAAGCAGTAGAAAAATAGGAAATGTTGGCCAGCAACTCCAAGGCTGAGGCAGGAGGATTGCAAGTTTGAGACCAGCCTTCCCAATTTAGTGAGACTCTGTCTCAAAATAAAAACAAAAAGTACTGGGAATGTAACTGAGTGATGACACGCCCTTGGGTTCAATCCTCAGGAAAGAGAAATAAAGGAGGGAGGGATGGAGGGAGGGAGGAAGGAAGAGAGGGAAGGAGAGAGGGAGGGAGAAAGGAAGGAGATAAGAAGGAAGGAAGAAAAGGAAGTGGGGCGAGGCATTGGCCACAGGGCACCAGTCAGAAATGGACTGGTACACTTTCAGAGCTGACTGGTGTGCAAGCACAGGGAAGGAAGTTGTGCTGGGGACGGCTGGGGCTCCTTCTCAATTTGAGTATAGTTGTTGAAATCCAGAAAGTCTTTTAAAAAGAGAGTGTAGGCTTCTCTGGGGAGAGAACAAACTGCTCTCAGATCACAGCTGGATAAGCATTTTGATTTCATCTTTGTCTTTTGGGGGCCCCATGTCTCCATATATACTCCCTCCAAATTGATGAACTGAGCCATTCATTTTGGTTAAGAATGGGCATAAAATTAAGAACTCGGACAGAATTCACAAGAGTGCCTAATCTAGAGGTAAGGATTAGAGTTCGATTGACACCTCCCTTGGCTTCAATCTTCTGCAGAGGGGTATAATAGGTTATTTTGCAAAGCCTATTCTATTGATCAGCCCTATCCATGGAAATGGTGAATCTGAGCTGAAACTCTTCTTCCTGTAACTTCACACTGTTCTGTTTCTTATGCTTTCACATATTTAAAGAGTCACCTTCAATCTTCTCTATTTCAGGTCCAACCCCTTTCCTTCAAACAGTTCTTGTAAGGACATAGGTCATTCTCTTTTGAACTCTAATACCCATTTCTAAAGAACTGGTCCTAATACACAAAATATGATCAAATTTATACACACTACAGTATAAGATCTCTTTCTCTTTTTTTAAATCCAAGCATGATGCTTCCATTAATGAATTTTAAAACTTTCAAAGTGTCCTGTCCTATTATTGGCTCATATTTGGCTGATTTTTCACATGAAATCCTATCAAATAGCAGGGTGTAGTGGTACACAGCTATGATGCCAGCTATTTGGGAGATTGAGGCAAGAGGATCACAAGTTCGAACCCAGCTTGGACCACTTAGCGAGACCTTGTCTCACTAAAATAAAAATAGAAGGCTTAGGGAATAGGTCAGTGGTACAGCACTTACCTAGCATAGGCAAAATGCTAGTTTAATTCCCAGTACCCCACAAACACAAAGAAATCCTATCAAAGTAGGTTCCTTATGGCAACCTTACACTAAAGAAATGAATCTCTATTATCAGTATCACATTTCCTTTTTTGAAAAAAATCTCTCTCAGTTTCCCATTGTTCCCAATAGAAGCCACTGTTCTGTTTGAAATCATATTAAATCTTGATTTTAATTAAATTTCCTTAAGCTTCATTTAAGTTTGATAAAAGTGGCAAAAGCACCTTTGGCTTTTTCAACAGAACTAGATCCAAAACAGAGACCCTGTGGGAAGCCAGCTGAGACCTCATTTAAGTCAACATTAGAAAGGTGGTGGACTTGGCAGAGTGCTTGCCCAGCATGCTCAGGGTCCTGAGTTCAATCCCCAACACCAAACATGTATATTGACTTTTGGGGAGGGACAAAGAAGTTTAACTTGTTACCACAAACCCCCTTCCATCTACCACGTGTAGCATGGTACGAATCATGCTAGCTGGCCCTCATAACCTGAGCACACAGCTAGTTGTATCTGGAATCCTCCGCTGAGCATTTAGGAGCCTCCATATTCTCCGTGTTCTTTTACATATTCAATCTCATTCTCCATCGTTAACCTCAACCACATGCAACGCATTCCAAGCCAGTCAGGCTGGTTTGGTGCCGCCACTGGACACAACACACACTCAACCCCAAGACATGTGGCTTCCTCAGCACAAAATCTCTTCCCCAGCACCGTCCACACTGTACCCGGCCCAGAAGATCTGACTAGAGGATGCGAGTTCTAAGTCCAAAGTCTTGCCAAAGCGTTTGGCATGCCACAGGTTGACACCCCTCCTTGCTGAACCCGAAAGGCTTTCAGGATCAGCCTTTGGGGTTGCACCCTCATTTCTTGGGTGAACAGCTTGTCTCTCCACTCAAGTCTCCAAGCACAAGGGTCCGGCGCTCTCCTCTGGCTCTTCCACTTCCCAAACTGCTGGCCCACGGCAGAAGCACGGTCTTACTCAAGCATGTGGCTGGTGCTCTGTCATGTTTCTCCCACCCACCCGCTCCCTCCTCTAGGATCTCACCTTTCTTCCCGCACTCGAGGGCTCAGGAACCTGCTCGAATCGTCATCATGGCTGCTCTGCTGGCTGCTCTGCTGGCTGCTGGGGAAAGACACAGGATATGGACCGTTAATGCTCAACTTCTTTCTCAACCCCGGGGAGGTCTTAGACTTCAACTAGAGAAAAAAAAAGGGGGTTACAAAACTGAGGCTACAAGTTCCCCCCTGCGCAGAGAGTTTAGCACAGAGAGTGTACTATCGGAGGAGGGGTGTGAGAAATGACACAAACCTGGTACAAAAACCCACCCATGATACCTGAGGACAGTTTTGCTGCCCCAGCTGGAAGAGGAAGGTTTTGACCTTGTTCCTGTTCTTCCCCAGCTAAATATGCACATCCAGGGCATCTTAACCGCCCCTCTTAATCTCACTCTGATGGGTTAATGATTCCGTTGTTCTTCATCCCACTAGAGACTCCCAAGGAACCGGTGTAGAATTGAGGAGGGAGGGGCTTAGTAGGGTGTGGAGGAAGGCAAAAGACTTCACAGACAGGATCTGGGGTCACCTGGTCTGCTTTTCAGCCCCCAGGAAGGGCTGGGTAGAGCGAGGTTAAAAAAAAAAAAAATAGAAGGAATAAAGGGTAGAATCCCTCCAATCCTCACAGCCCTGCAGGTAAAAGGACTCCTGAGTTCAAGGTCAGAACTCTGTGAACAGACTCCACCCTTAAGGTGAAATGGAATAAACTGCTTTTCATCTTATTCCAGAGAGAGAAAATCTTTTCAGACACCTCATGACACCATCTACATATTAGATGAACACTGATTTTTTCCCCCCATTTACAAGTATTACCTACTCCAGGCATTTGACAAGGATCGGAAAACTACAGCCTTCGAGCCAAATCTGGAGCCATCTGTTTTTATACAGTTCCATGAGCTAAGAATGGTTTTTGCATTTTTAAAAGGTTGGGGGTAATCCAAAAAAGAATATTTTGGGACACTTGAACATGATGTGAAATTTGAATTTCAGTGTCCATAATGACACTTTATGGGAATACAGCCACACTTGACATTTACGTGACGTCGTCCTTGATTACTTTTAAGCTACGGTGGTGTCTGAGCTGAGGAGTTGAGGAGTTGAGGCAAAGCCGCGAAAGCTCAGTAGAGGAAAGATTTCAGGAGCCCACAAAGCCCACAATGTGAACCCAAGGAGCTTTCATGGGAAAAGGCAGACGAACGCAGCTATGCATAGATTTTATTAATAATAAAGTCCTACTACAAAAATTTTTCCCCACTACTGGGGATTGAACCTCAGGGCAATCTATCACTGAGCTACATCCCCAGGACTTTTTATTTTGAGACAAAGATCTAGATAAGTTGCTGAGGTCAGCCTTGAACTTGTGATCCTCCTTCCTCATCCTCTTGAGTGGCTTCGATTACAGTCATATGCCACTGTGCTGGGCTGTAAAGTTTTTCTTTTAAAAACTCACTAAATTATTATTGATTTTATGAGTATCATCATACCCTATTCTGGTATCATTTTACTACCAGTTTTTCAAAGAATCACAAATGTCTGTATTTTCATTGTTTATCTGGCAGTATCAGAATGTATATTTTCTCCCCCACACACACCCTATTTTGTTTACTTTTCTTTTTTGTGGTCTTACAAATTTCTTTCTTGGTCTTCTATTTTTGTGGTATTTGGAGGGTTTATGTATATTTTTCTGAGTTGAGATCATTTTAATTGCATAATCATAAATTTCACACACAGCTCATAATTAATAATAAACATGGGTTGGTTTTTACAAGGCCTTCAAGTTCTTTCACTTTGTTGTCCAATCCAATTTTTTAAAAAAAGAAAGAACAAGAAAAAAGAAAATGAAAAAAGAGAGGAGAAACTAGTAAGAAAAAATAAGACAAAAAAATTATTAATATGAATGTCACTACAACCCAAGCAATAGTATAACCAAAATCATTTCTTTGTTCTGATAAATTGTTCACTGCAATAAGGCCAAGCGTGGTGGCACATGCCTATAATACCAGTGATTTGGGAGGCTGAATCAGGAGGATTGCAAATTTGAGGCCAGTCTCAGCAACTTAGCAAAGTCCTAAACCACTTAGTGAGTCCCTATCTCAAAATAAAAAGTAAAAGGGCTAGGGATGTGGCTCAGTGGTAACCCCCTCCCCTGGTTTCAATTCCCAGTTTAAAAAAAAAAAAAATTGTTTACTGAATAGGTGTGCTGATCTGATCTCTAGAGTACATTCCTTAGGCTAGATTCCCAGCAAACCACAAACTGAACAATCTTAAAGAATTTCATCTCAACCAAAAGAGTACATGAATTGTTTGTGGTTATGGTTATACAGTTGTAACCACACTTCAAGGTTCTTCCAGCAAGAAGTAAATGGCTTTGGAAGCAAATTAAGTCAAAATTTTCATACACACAAGGAATCACATACACACACACCCCAGAAACCAGAACAGCACCTACACAAAGCCTCCAGCTGCGAGGCAGAGCTAAGTGCCTACGCAAACCTTTTCTCTTTCCTTTATGCCAAGTGCTTTTTTACTGCCTTTCCACCATGGAGTGTCCGTTCATCATTTTCCCCTGCAAGCTGCCACAAATTTACCTATTAAAAACTCCTCAAAACCAAATCTCACTGTACTATTGTTGACCCATGGTATTGACTATTGTATGCATCAAGCATTCTCTTATATACAATCTGGGATAAGTGTTATTCTATGGTAGGCGACCCACAGATGGCTGGAACTCAAATTCCAAATGAGACACAGCTCCAGAGACAAGCCTCGAGAGAAGAGTAGTGACCTACACTTCGGGCAGCCCATGTGAGGAGTAGCAGGAAGGAGGGGTACCTGAAGCCCCATGCTTTATGTCATTGATAACAGTCAATGGGGCTCAACAAACCCAAATGACCATCAACCTCACAGTCTCTTCAAGAAAAAGGTTGACTGACCTTGACCCATTTGAGCCAGGAGAGGTTGGTTCTCTCCACTCACCCTGCCCTCCAGCTTGCAAACATATCTTAACATTAAACTAATTAAGGCCAGACCTAAATGGCAGTGTTACCAAGGTTTCAGAAAAATAATTGAGCTAATATTACCAAGTTATCCCACTAGATGGCACTGTCGGCTTCCAAACCAGAATCAACCAGGCTGCCCAATACCTCAGAGCCTCAAGAACCCCAACCAGGGCCAGCCTTCTGGAGCCCCCTTCTGGCCTTCATGTGGCTTGGAAAGTTCTGTCCAAGGAGAATTAAGACAACATTGATTTGCCTTCACACTATTGATTAGTTCCTGGTGATTAAGAAACATCAACCTGCAAGTATTTATAGAATGCCCTCTATGTGTACTTATGCACTGAGGCAGGGGTTAAGAGTCTAGAATCTCAAATTATGCAGCCTGGAATTGAATGCAAGCTCCACTCCTAGTTACATGATCCTGAGCAATTGATTCAACATCATTTTCCTTATCTTTCCTTGTAAGGCTCTAGCGAGGTTTTAAGAACAAGCAAATGAAGCCTGTACAGCAGTGCCTGGCACGTGTACTAATGCAAAATGCCAGCAGTCATCACCGCGAGCAAGGCATTGATTTGTGAGTTATAGAAATAAAAAGAGAGAGAGAGAGACATGAAGACATGAATCTAATGAGGATCCTACTCTCAAGGTGTCTGCATTCTGGAAGGTAAGGCTCGGTGTAACTATAGTCAAAAACAGCAAATGGTAGCATTCACAAGTACCGGTGAAAGGCTTTGAAACCACAGAATACAAACAGCTGTTCCTTTTGTGGTCAGTAAGAGAAGAAGGTCTTAACGAGTTTTTGCACTGACACTTAAAACTGGATCCATTCAAGACAAAGAGAAATGAGAAAAAGAAAGCACTGTGGTTGGGCTCCACTTACTATTTTCCATGCACAAAACACTGTGGGAATGGGCAAGTAAATATGACAATGACCTGGCCCCCACCAGCAGAGGACAACCCCCACACACACACACCTGCACATCTAGTTGGCATGGGTATGCACTGCATACTGGGAGGAAGCAACATCACAAGGGACAGAGTGTGGGTGGTGACACCAACTAGAGTTTCCTGGAACTCTTCAGAGAGGTGAACACTGGGCTGGAAGAACTGCAGGTGAATCTATGGTGCCGTCTTTCTTCCTCCAAGTGTCCGAAGAGAGATTTGGTCTTCTCTCATATTTTGAGTTTGTTTTATAACAGTCTTAAATAACTTAAATAATGCCAACCACTTCTCCAGCTCAATCCCATGAAATAATATTGTTTTGTTTTGGTTTTGGCATTACAAGTCTTAATACTGAAATAATATTGTTGATCAGAATTTCCAGAGATTCAGAATAGTTCATTCTTTGGGGCTCTTGAGAATTAAATAAATGTATTGTGAGATGGATGTGAACATTTGGGGGAGGGATAGAACACAATGGTTTGGTTAAGTGTCCCCCAAAAGTCCCAGGATGGCATCATTGGAGGTGGAGGGATCTTTTGGTGGGAAAGGGGTACTGGGAGATCCTTAGGTCATCATGAATGTGCTTCAAAGGGGTTGTAGGACCTCGTCTCTTCCTATCTTTTTCTCAGAGGTGAGCAGTTTGCTGTGCCACACATCCCTGTCAGGATGTACTGCCTTCACCAGAGGTTCAAAGCAGTGGGACCACCCAATCTTGGACTGAAAACTCTAGAACCATAAACCAAAACAAACCTATTCCCTTTATAACTTAAATTTCTCAAATACTTTGTTATAGTATTGCAAAACTGACTGGTACACCCTTTTCCATGAATGCTTTCAAATGATTCAGGCCACCTGGACCCTGAGCAACTCACACTGCAGCCCTAATGAATTCAAGGCCATGACAAAAGCAACCATTTCCCTAGGCTGTTTACAGAGGAAGGGTCAAAGGCCACAACATCAAGGACCAAGTTCCCATCCACCCCACACTAGTCAAGTCTTTTGTGTCTAGTCTGACTTAAAGAAGTCAGAAAAAAACTTGGAAAAAGTCCAGCAGATGGCACTAACAGATGAAAATGTCTGTTAGACTGAAAAAGTAGCTCTAAACAAGGATTTTTGGAATGACTTTGCCTGA